TGCTTTCATACACTCAACAACCTCCACGGTTTAATCCATAGTAATAAATACTTAGATTGATTATATAAAGGGGCTGTGGAAAAATTAGATAAAATACAGGTGTGATGTCATCCTTTGATGTTGGCGTACCATTATTTGCTTGATAAAGACGGGAGAACACTCGTTGAAACGTCGCTAAATAAACTCTTCAAGTAACTTGTATTCCATATAATTTTGTCATGTGTTATTCTCATCCAGTTACTAAATGCCACTTAAACAATGTACGGGCAACTTGCCAATCGTACATTATCTATACTAGATGAAATATTGGACTCGCGTGACGTATTTCATTGAAAAGCAAGTGCGGGATAGTGTCTGTATATAAATTTGTTTAATGGTCTCGAGCTAAAGACATTGTGTAATATATTGAAACGCCTCGTGCAGTATGAATATATTACTTAATGTCTCGCTCTCGACCATTAAACCATACATAACGAGATGACAGTTCCCGCTATTATAGTTTTACAAAATAGACAATTAAAGGAGAATATGCTAAATATTTCTGTCAAATTGATTCACTCTGGGTCTAGATATTAGCGTTGCAATTATAGGCTAACCTCGGTCGCCATTACTACCGTTGTTTCGATAATAAACATAGTCTCAATTATCCATTTGAATACATTTTGTGATGGATGTTTTAATGTCAAAATATATAATTGAGACTTTGTTTCTTTTTTTATCGTACCGACTTTAGTAATGATGATCGAGGCTAGGCCTAAAATTCAATCTCATACCTCAGTTCAGAGTGGAGCAATTTGACTGATATTTTCAGCATATTCTATTTACATTATCAATTTCTATAGCGATAGCCGCCAGCTTATTATTTAATCTCCAATTATGCCCCTTTAAGTAATTTAAATATGAGGGAGATGTAAAATACAAAAAATGGGTAAGAAAATAAATATGTTCTTGTATGTTAAAGCTACAATTTCATATTTTTAAGTTATATTTTTAAAATGTATTAAAATAAAGCCTTAAAATAGATGGTATCTATAAACAGTCCTACCTTGTTAAAGAATAATCCTATTAATTCTATAATTCACTATTGCCAGTTGAGAAATTGGCAAAAATATCATTTTCATCTTCAAAAATTCAAACGTTTGCAAATAGCTATTCCATGGTAGGGAATAGAAAAAACAAGGGAGGTAATTAGGAGGTAATTGTGTTATTATTTCCGGTGTGAAACATTTTTGAGTGTGAGAATGATAACTATGATCGTATAATAGTGAGTTGACAACCTATTGAGCAAAAGACATAGAAATAATTATGTTTTGACTTTCTTAGAAAATATGAAATTGTAGCTTAAATTGTCACTTTAAAACACATTGTTAAAAATCGCAGTCATGAGAAGCGAGGGATGGTGATCTTCTCCCTTCTTCATAATAACAATCCAACTTCGTGGGTTTTCTCCGGGTTCTCCGGCTTCCTTCCACTGCTAAAGACCCCCCCCCCCCCTCGTGCAAGCGAGTTATTGAAATAAAATTGAACCAGATGTTAGTCCCGAAATGACCTAGTTTGTGTCGAGTGGACGTTAAACCCCATTTCTCTCTCTCATAATAAGTTAAAACATATGGTGGCTGATTGGTATCATGTCGTGATGTCGCCCTTGATAAGGCGACAACCCGACATTTTAACCCGACACCACGACAACGCAACATCACGACATTTTAGCCCGATAATACGACATTTTTAATATCGTGGTGTCGGGTGAAAATGTCGTGCTGTCGGGTGAAAATGTCATGTCGTGCTGTCGGGTTAAAATGTCGTGATGTCGGGTTAAAATGTCGTGATGTCGGATTTGTCGCCTTATGAAGGGCGACACCACGACATCACGACATAATACCAATCAGCCACCATAAAAACAGGAGGTCCAGCTGATTGATGTTTGGTATCATCAATGCGTATAGAAATAAACAACCTTGGTGAAAGAGAATCCGCTTACTTTATGCCATAATATCACACTGTCCTTATTATTTATTGTGAACAAAACGGATATTAAACTGTAATAGTCCGCAGTAAATAATTAGGTCTTCATTGATTTGTAATTAATGGGCTTATGTTTAGCGTGGTAGATTACATCATGTTGATGTTTTAATGTGATTGAATAAAATAAAACCACGACACTCAAACAAATCACGTCCAGATAAAAACGGTAGAAAACCATAAACACAGCACAAAAAAAATTAAATGAAATGAAATGACAGCGGCGCAAAGGCCTACTCTTATTTAGAGTTCCAATTGTCCAGGGATCGCGGGGAGGGGACGAATGATTAACGCGTGCGCGTTGGATCAGAAGGTCTGTCATTGAGTCAACTGGCGTGGTTTAGATTGCCCGCTTGTACATGACAAGAAGTAGGGCCGCCTGTCTAACCTCGTGGGTTTTCTCCGGGTCCTCCGGTTTCCTCCCACTGCTAAAGACCCCTACGCGCAAGCGAATTATTGAAATAAACTTGAACCCTATGTTAGTCCCGAAATTACCTAGTTTGTGTCGAGTGGACGTTAAAGCCCATCTCTCTCTCTCTCTCTCTCTCTCTCAACTGGCCAAACCCGGGACATCCAGGTTAGCGACTCAACGTCTCACACACTGGGCCATCTAGTTCCCCCAGTCGATAGAAAGCTCGTCATATGCATAGAGTACTCAAATGAAATGAGGTTTGATGTCCTACGTTTCCATCCCAACCGGGTACGCGCTATGTAGTTTGTTGTGACGACAATTTTGGCCAAACAGCGGCAATTCCACCTACTGTTGTCGAATTCCAACTGTCAAGGGTACTTTTATATGTTCGCAATCATGTACATCGGTTATCATGACCATCGACTAGAAGTTGTTCCTTACTAGACCCTAAATACTGTCCCACTGACAAGTGGAAACATGAAAACCCTGAAGAACTTTCTCAGTTAACAGAGGGATTGACCTGGGAACCCTCCTTGGTTATTGAGCCAGCCTCCCCTGGCCGAGCCACAAGCAGTACTTTAAAACGAAATGAAATGAAATTTAACGTCCTACTGTTCTGCTCCGAACTGGGCTAACGAAGACAGGCATACGCCATACAGTGTGCTATGACTTAACTATGAGGGAAATTTTGCCCAGACAGCGGCACTATGGCCTACTCTTATATCGAATTCCAACTGTCAAGTGATCTTTTACGTGCACGCCAATGTGTACACGGGACCTCGGTTTTACGTGCCATCCGAACGACTAGACATCTCTCCTTGTCAGGCCCTTCGTCCTGCATCACTGACAAGGGCAAACCACGCCGGAAAATCTAGATGAACTTTCTCGGCCAATGCAGGGATCACTTAAATTCATTCTGATTAAAATACAAATCTATATTTCGTTTCGTTTTTTAATACTTTCGATGGCCTGCACTACATGAAGATCTGAAAAGTTGTACTGGAAGGCCAAGAACTCGTCATAACAGACCGTTTCATTGGCTGATCCCTCACATTAACAACTCTTCAAGATCTTAATGTAGTATAAACTCTATCACGCAGAAAAATATTCTACTAATATTAGTCTGGATGCGTCAACATTTGAGAATAATAGGTTAATGGCTAGATTATCCGGTCTTTTACATTATCATAAACAAAATCTAAGGGAGGTAACTAGGCCTAAGACAAGATGTTGACGCCCATGAAATTAATTTAAGAATGTCGTTTTAGAAAATCCAGTTGATTGCATTGCCAGTTCAATATCCAACACTCTATTTTTTTTATAGTAAAATTTCTCTCTTCATGGACCTTATCTATGTGTTTTTTTTATTTTTTAATTAATCCTAATTTGACGCCATGATTCATATCATATTGTTTATAGGCCACTCGGCAAACCTCGGCAGATTCCGGTATCCTACATCTAGCCTCGGCTGTATGACAGTAAGTGATATGTACCTACGCCTATACATTTGCGATGCGGCACCGGTTTACTTATAAGGGAAACTTGCCCGCGTTTAGAAAGAAGTTCTCAAAATTGCATCGTTCGAAGAGTGTGTAGAATTTTCAGTGCAAATTTGTCCTTGTCTAAAGAAAATCGGATAAACTTGAAAGAAAAACGGCTTCAAACTTTGAAAATTTTGTAAGATAAAACATTCTTCAAATATGTCGTCATCAATGACGTCATTGGTCGTCATGGACAACGCCATTGTATTCCGGGAACTTGAAAGTAGTTCTAATGGCGGACCTTGTCATACAGCCGAGATTAGATGTAGGGTACTGGAATCTGTTGAGGTTTGCCAAGTGGTTTATAGGCCTATTAATGCAAGAATTATGGGATTTATTGCGGGAAGGGGTACAACTCTTACCTGACTTAATCAACCACATTAAAAACGAAACTCCCGGTTACGGTATGGGCAATGAAACATTTCGTCAACGGTCCCAGACCCTCCGTATGTTGACAAGTAAAATAAAATTATGAACTATAAAAAACGAAACGAAATAGGATCTGTATTTTAATCAGATTGATGTATTAAAACAATTCCCAATTTGTATTTTATGGCTTTACTGTCTGGCCTGTGAACAAGATAAAAATACAAAATGGCGTACAACAAATTATTGCCTAGGTTACCATTGGCTGTTGCTAGGATCCTGTTCTCTTAAACATACATTATGCAAGAGCTAAATCTGCCTATTGCGGGTCTTTCTTTAGGCCCGAAATGTTATCTAAATTATTAATTAGACATTAATTAACTTATCCAAACCATAATCAACTCTCGATGTCATCGCTAGCCAGTGGAATTTACTGGATTCGAATCCGATTTGCTGCTCAACGCTTATTGATGATTTCATCCAAAAATAGATAATCGAGACTATGTTTTTTTTTATCGTACCGACTTTAGTAATGATGGTCGAGGCTAGGCCGAAAATTCAATCTCTAAATTCTCGGTTCAGAGTGGCACCTCATTCATACAGAATACACCGACGTAATTTATTGTAAAATCTCATGTTCTGATTTTATTTTATTCCAGTCGTCGCTGCACCAACCAATCCGGTTCAAGATGTCAAAACAGCACAGGTAGGTCCACTTGATGTTACTTAATCGTAGATCACAGGTAAAAAATCTAGTTTTTATACGTCCACATTATTGAGTGACGTCAGTTAATCGTAGATCACAGGTATAAAATCTTGGGATACTGCAATGTGCTATGCGGAGGTGAAATGAAATGAAATGGGTTTTAACGTCCTACTGTTCTGCTCCTAAACTGGGCTAATGAAGACGGACATACGCCATACAGTGTGCTATGAGGGAAATTTTGCCCGGGCAGCGGCGCTACGGCCTACTCTTATATCGAATTCCAACTGCCAAGGGATCTTATACGTGCACGCCAATATGTACACGGGACCTCGGTTTTTCGTCCCATCCGAATGACTACAGCTGTCCTTGTCAGACCCTCCGTCCTGCATCACTGACAAGGGGGAACCACGCCGGAAAATCTGGATGAACTTTCTCGGCCAATGCAGGGATCGAACACCCGACCCCTTAACTTATCCAGACCATAATAAACTCTCGATGTCAAGGCTAGCCTTCGATGTTGGCTGGATTAGATTCCTATATGCCGCTAACGGCCATTGATAATTAAATCAAAAAAGTGGATAATCGAGACTATACTGTTTATATTAATGATTTTAGTAATGATGACCGAGACTATGCAAAAATTTCACCCGCTTCGTTCTCGGCTCATAGTGGATCAATTTGACTGAAATTTTCAGCAAATTACCTTTACGCTATCTAGTTTTTAACTATTATAGCGAGAACTGCCATCTCTTTATCTTATCTCCCATAATGTATCTTTAATTAACTTATCCAGACCATAATCAACTCTCGATGCAATCGTTAGTCTGCAATATTTATTTACTGGATTGGAATCGGATCTGCTGCTCAACGTTCATTCATGGATAATCGAGACTATGTTTTTTTTTATCGAACCGACTTTAGTAATTATGATCGAGGCTAGGCCCAAAATTCAATTGCTTAATTCTCGGTTCAGAGTGGATCAATTTGACTGAATTTTTCAGCATATCCCCTTTACATTATCTAGTTTTTAACTATTATAGTGAGAACTGTCAGCTCTTTATCTAATCTCCCATAATGTATCTTTAACTATTATAGTGAGAACTGTCAGCTCTTTATCTAATCTTCTATAATGTATCTTTAACTATTATAGTGAGAACTACCAGCTCTTTATCTAATCTCCCATAATGTATCTTTAACTATTATAGTTAGAACTGTCAGCTCTTTATCTAATCTCCCATAATGTATCTTAAACTATTATAGTGAGAACTGTCAGCTCTTTATCTAATCTTCTATAATGTATCTTTAACTATTATAGTGAGAACTGTCAGCTCTTTATCTAATCTCCCATAATGTATCTTTAACTATTATAGTTAGAACTGTCAGCTCTTTATCTAATCTCCCATAATGTATCTTTATCTATTATAGTGAGAACTGTCAGCTCTTTATCTAATCTCCCATAATGTATCTTTAACTATTATAGTGAGAACTGTCAGCTCTTTATCTAATCTTCCATAATGTATCTTTAACTATTATAGTGAGAACTGTCAACTCTTTATCTAATCTCCCATAATGTATCTTTAACTATTATAGTGAGAACTGCCAGCACATTATCTAATCCTCCATAATGTATCTTTAACTATTATAGTGAGAACTGTCAACTCTTTATCCAATCCTCCATAATGTATCTTTAACTATTATAGTGAGAACTGTCAACTCTTTATCTAATCTCCCATAATATATCTTTAACTATTATAGTGAGAACTTAAGTCGTATGTGTAATGAGGTGTTACCAATAGTTTCTGCCTTGTTGAACATATTTTATTAAAATGGCGATTTAAATGTCTGGAAATGAGATGACGTGATAATAAAAGGATCAATTCTCATTGGTTCTCTATCATGACGTAATGATTGATGTAACCATAACTTAGCAACGAGGCTCTTGAAAGCTGAAGTGAGTGGAAATGCAATACGTCAATAGTGCATATCCAGTGGGGATGATATGAAAACACAGACACACATTTTAAGAACACGTTTCAACTCAATGGACGACTTTTGTAATATTATATCTTTAAGTAATTATTTGGTTCACACTTTCTATAAAGTCAAATTACATGTACTTAAATGAATTCAAGTCAGGCCCGTAACTAGGTGCTAGGTGTGCGGGGGGGGGGGGGGCAAAATGTTTCGCCCCCCCCCCCCATGAAAAAATTGTCGACCATAAAATAAATTCGCCCCCTGTAAAAAAAATCATCGGTAGTTGATATCAGATTATCAATATTTCCAATTATACGGTTTTTATCCAGACTTTTCACCTTTTTCAGATCATAATTCAAATGAGGGGTATTTTGAGGTTTTCTGGTCAAATTTCGTTCAAATGAGGGTCCGTCTGCATATCGTCCTCGATTGATGAGGCTGTCCAGAGTACAGGAAATAGCGTTTCCGGCAGTCCAAATTTGAATTGTTTTCTCGAAGCAACCCCCCCCCCCCCCCGATATACATTGTCCGTAAAATTTACAGCACCTCTGAGAACACTTCCCGCCCCCGTGGTTGCTCTGAGCTAGTTATGGCCCTGCTTTGAGTGACATTTTGGTAAAATTCTTACAATTCTACCTTGTTTATGACATGTGTTTGATAGACTAAATAAGGTAATGGAGAATGGGGATGTTTATTCCATATTTGGGAAGGAAATGAACGCCAAGGTCAATCTATAACAGAAATAAGGGGGTTATAAAAGAGAGTTTTAAGCGAAATTCATCAGAGCTCACCCATATATTCCGAGCAGCTATCTATGCTTTATTGAGAACGAGGAACGTCGAATCCAAACAGTTCAATAATAAAGTTGTAGAAACGAACTAACCTGTAGTTTTATTTACGATCACAAAGGAAACACAACAAGGACGTCTGATATTACTACACATCAGCTACACATTGTGATAAGATGTCTCTGATGGGGATGAACGTATCTTCAATGAGACACATCCAATCGCCTCCCATGCTGTTTTGATTAATTAAATGCATATCTCTAACATCACCCAATTGTCTTGAATGTGATAAATTCATACAATGACAATCGATGGGAAACAGCTATAAAATGGCAAAGTCATATTGAAAACTATTTCAACTGTAAACCTAATCTGACCTCTGTATTGATATTGTCTGTTTGTTGGTAAAATGAAATTTAAATTATAGAAGTTAAATCGCTAATTTATATTTAGGACCTAGAAATGGAGACAAATGGGTCACAACGCATTTGATAATGTAATATGAATGTAAATAAACTGATTTACATTCAATCGTTTCTATTTTTACTGTAATTTTCTAATCAGTTATGTTCGGCGAAATACGCCAGAAGTCTCAATCGAATGGTAGTTGTCCCAGTCTACACCGATAGTATTTATTGCGCATGCTCTCCAGATCAGAATATGCCATCACCGTTGGACATGACCTGTGGAAGATGTCTAGCCGCGTTCTTCGAGTCCCTTGTTACAAATTGGCGCTGAAACGCATTATGGTACACGATTCGTGTACCAATCGTAAAATGTTAAATTTGTCTTAAATATTGGATATCTGAAGAGGGTTTAACGTCCACTCAACACAAACTAGGTCATTTCAGGACTAGCCTAACACATGGTTCAATTTTATTTCAATAATTCGCTTTCGCGTGGAGGTCTTTAGCAGCGGGAGGATGCGCCATTCATCAACAGCCGTAAAGTGGGTGTCGAATATAAAGTAACTATTTCATATTTAGGTTTTAGCACAATTTTTGTTTTGTTTGGTTTTTTTGTGACCCCGACCCACGCCTTACCCCCTTTGATATTTTCGCCCTCTTTCTACAGTCATTCGGACATATTTTAACTCCCGATATCACATCTGTAGAAAGGAGGTGAAACTGTACTAATAAGTATGACGTCATTGATTGGACTGGACGTCACGTGGGGATAAGAGTCTTATAGAGTGGCACGCAATGTTTAACAAACTAGGATAATAAATATCACCATATTAAAGATGGCGCCTCTCAAGGGAAAGGTCGTGGAATAGACGTTAACACGTTGGTTGTATCGAGAGATTTCTGTGGAGAATAACGAATAACAATTAACACCATCTCTTATTACATGTATAAACACCATCCAACGTCGGCTGGGGTTTAACGTCCACTTGACCCAAACTAAGTCATTTCGAGAGTAACACTTGGTTCAATTTTATTTCAATAATTCGCTTACGCGAAGGCCGGCCATCTGTCAGGTTTCCTTTAAGGAAAATCGATGTGTACATGGTATGACTCTGTTTTGTGTACTTTCCGAATGATTAGATACTTTTTCTTGTTCGCTCCGTGGGCCCACCTCTGAGAAGTCATTGGAATGATAAAGTACACGTCATTTTGTATTTAGGAGTTTGATTGGTCTATATTGGTACAATATTTTATTGGTATCCCTGTCCTAGTGAAATAAAAAATCCTTTATTCTTATGCCACCATATTACACATACAAATATTGTAATACTTTTAGTAGAATTTTTGCTCGAGAAATAACATATTCGCATAATATGTGATATGTACTTAAAATACTTAAATCAACTTAGTCTGTAATTGACAGTTGACACATAAAAAAGAGCCATTTATCGAAAACATATGTCACTCATTTACCACCAGAATTACACGTGAGTGGAATTATTCTAATTGCATCATTTGATTTAAAGTAACCAATCATTTTGTTAATTACACAAGTTCAGGGCCATGATCACGCGTTATTGTGCATGATATTCACTTACCTTTAAAAGAAACCGGGGAACCCTGTAAGTCAGACTTGCATTAGATTCCAGAGATCGAGGGTACATCTGAGTTCCTAGACAGCCGAGAGGCTGGATAGGGTGGAGAAGTGGTTTTAGCTATATAGTATTGTAATTTGTGCTATGCTTGTATACCTGTATTCAGTTATATGCTATATAAAATGTAGAAGCGAACTATGCATTATTGTTCCTGGTAAGACAAACGTCTTAAGAAACTGGAAGAAGTAAATACACAACGTGAAGCAGAAGTAAAGACAGCTAGAGACAAATCCTAGACGATCACAAGGCTACAGAAATATGTAGTAAGAAAAGATGCATGGGTCGTACGTAGGATGTGGCGACCGGTTTCCCATAGGCGCTCTCCACGTCAGACAGAAGGACCTATGGTGCTACAATATGTAGAATGATAAAATAGATTGATTATCTTCCTTTAAAACAAAACCCGTTCAGGTCGTCAATCGATTCAAGATTGCATCCGACATCTGACTATCAGATGAAAGTGAGAATGTATCGAATTGTCGGATTCACTTAAACATACATTATGTAAGAACTTAATGTGCCTATTACAGGTCTTTCTTTTGGCCTGAAACTGAAATGTTATCTTAATTATTAATTAGACATTAATTAACTTATCCAGACCATAATCAACTCTCAATGTCATCGCTAGCTTGCGATATTTACTGGATTAGGATCCGATCTGCTGCTCAACTTTCATTCATGATTTAATCATAAAATGGATAATCGAGACTATTTTTGTTTATCGTACGGATGACCGAGGCTAAATTCTCGGTTCAGAGGGGATCAATTTGAATGAAATATGGTTACAAAATTTATTTCCATTAATCATGTACAGTATGGGAGATTAGATAAAGAGCTGGCAGTTCTCACTATAATAGATCTGACAAGTTATAGCGATAGGTCTCGTCAGGGGTCAACAGACCGACTTATGACCCTATGACGTCAGGCATTTGATTAACCAATCAGCATTGATGTTACTAGTGGATTACCCACAGTTTCGTGAAAAACACGCCTTAAGCTCGTCGTAACAGACCGTTTCATTGGCTTATCCCTGACACCATTCAGAACACGAGTTAAATAACAAATCTTCCAGAACCAAGTGTAGTAAAGACAAGTAAAACGAAATTTTGAACTATAAAAACGAAACGAAATAGGATCTGTGTTTTAACCAGATTGGACGAGAGCTTTGACAGGAGTCGGTGTAAAAAGGAAAGTTTTAAACTCCATGTCATTTCATTTCTCTAGATCAACTTTAACTAAATTAAATGAGTGATATATTCTGTCATGCACGAGCCATTTCGTGTAGTTTTTTAACTAAAGATTTATTTGCCTTTAATAACATCGGGGACACATTTGATCACGTCAATATTTCTTCTACGCGTAATAAAAAACAACATTTGACCTTAAAACTCATCCTGTCTATCATATAAAGTGAAACGTATCCTGGTGTGATGATCAAAGAATTGGTGATAAGTGTAAATGGCTGTGTGTTTTCTATCTTCGCAGACCAATTTCACTATCTCTGTTTGTGGCTCAGTGATTAAGGCGCTTGCTCAGTAACTATAGTAGGACCTGGGTTCGATCCCGGTGTTGGCCGCGAAAGTTCCTCGGGATTTTTTTGGTCAATGCCTGACAAGGAACAACGTCTAGTCGTTTGGATAGGACGAAAACCCGATCAAATTTCGTTTTTCATAGTTCAAAATTTCGTTTTACTTGTCTTTACTACACTAGGATCTGGAAGAGTTGTTATATAACCCGCGTTCTGATTGATGTGAGGGATTAGCCAATGAAACGGTCTGTTGCAGCGAGTTCTTGAAATGAAATGACGTGCGATGCATGGAACTGTGGGTATCCTACTAGAAACACCAACGCTGATTGGTTAATCAAATGGCTGACATCATAGATCAAAAACCGCTCGTTCCTATGACGCGAACTTCCACTACAACCGGTCAGATCTTCATTTTGTAGAGACCATAGAAAGTATAAAAAAAAAACGAAACGAAATATAGATCTGTATTTTAATCAGATTATAAGGTTTCTGGGATTATTCCACACAGACCCAACCCGATTAATTCACTGCTAGCTACCCACTGCCTTGTGATAGGGTTGTCCCTATTGAGTCAACAATCTGCTACGTGCAGATACGTTCGGATACGTTTCAATACGATCAAAACGATTGCTAAGACTGACCTCAATATATGGTAAAACCTGATAGAATCACTACGATTACTCCACGATTAAAACCACCATTTCTGTCGTAGCGCGAATCGTGATACCGAGCATTGGCAGTAATCCTCTTACGATTGGGTACAGAATACCAGAATTTTAAATTAAGAAAATCCTTAAATCGAATAACTAACCAACCATCTCGACCGTCAGTTGTGGATTTTCTTCAACTAAAGCAGAATAAATAAAAGGATACTATAATAAGAAAAATATGATAAACGAGAAAGGTTTCTTATTACTGATGCATGCAATATTCATAGAAAATATTATTTTGGGATTTCAGGAATCAGAGATTGGGAATCAGTTGCTAATTCAGCCGAAAGAATTGACTGAACCCCAGACATCGAATGATGATGAGGATGACGATGGTGACCAGGGGGAGACACCGGAAATCGATATTCAATCTGTTTTGAAGCAATTCTTC